GTACATCGAATTTCTCGGATTTGCAAATAAATCGAACTGCGCTGATTCATTACGGAAATATTAGTCACGCGTTTAAAAACGACGAACGTCGGCTCGCATTTATTATTGAACGGTGAAATATCTTCGAGGGATTTTTACCGACGAGAGGCAAAATGAAAAATTTCGTGTAGTTTCCTAAGTGCGGCTCGAGACAACGCGGATAAATCAAACGTGATAAACAAGACTCCTCGCAGCGACGCGACATGCTTTAAGTTATTACGGCTTTAAATTACTACTAAATCCATAGTTGCTTCACCTCGCGATGATCTCTCTAATCCGTAATGTCGGAGTGTAAGTCGTAAAACTGCATTAAATAATTACAGCATTAATATAACGTTAACCGAGAATGAAATATTTTATAAAGTAGTATAATGCGTTAAACGATAATTTCAATTTCTTTTCATTTAATTAAAATAGATAAAGCCTTTATAATAAAAATTCATTCCGGCAAACACGAGTTTAATATAAAAGTAAAAATTAAAAGTAATGTTAAAATACATATAAAAAACTTTAGTGTGATCTTTTAACGATAAAATATTGAAGCGAAATATAATAAAAATATAAGTGATTAAATACACAATTTGCGATACACAATATAGAGAAGTCAGAATAGTATATTGCGACCCGAATCACAAGATTGCTGGAAATTCAGTTTACTGAGTTGAGAAGGAAACGTGTGGGTCGTAAATAATCCTTTTGGTTGCAGTACGTCACAACTCTCAGCATGTAATTCTTCAAAAATCGCTCCAGATAACGCTGACTATGTATCGTATTGCATTCACGAACTATACGAGCTACACGAGTTATACGTGCTGTTATGTGTGGTCTCTTAAATTTTAATAAACGTTAAATGCTTCGAACGATAAATGCTTTTTTATACAATATTCGTTATTCGTATACAAGTCCGAAATAACATTTACGGTTTGTTGCATAGGGAAAATAAGACGATGAAAAAATGTATTTTTAACACAATTTTAAACATTATCTAAACATTCATTAGATTACTAGAAATTAAAAAATGCCTATTACGATCGAAACTGGATCTTTATTGCTTTAAATAATTCAATCTTGAATTACTAATGTATTGAACTACTATATATGTACTTGCATATATACCATATTGTAGTCTTTTCAAACTGCGCGCCGAATTGTTTTTCCGGACTATAAACGCAATTAAAACTACTCTGGTAATCGCGAATTAATTTGACAAGCAATTTAATAATTTAATGCTATCATCGAGCATCATATTATAAAGATGTTAATATGTTGAAACTGTTAATAAATTTATTGCGAAAAATATTACCTCGGCTGGGACTTGAACCCGGATCTCTTGTATTCCGTACGAGCGTCCTAAGCCATTAGACCACCAAGGCCTTAGTAATATTCTTTGCAATAAATTTATTAACAGTTTCAACATATTAACATCTTTATAATACGATGCTTGATGATAGCATTAAATTATTAAATTGCTTGTCAATTCAATTCGCAATTACTAGAATAGTTTTAATTGCGTTTATAGTCTGGAAAAACAATTCGGCGCGCAGTTTGAAAAGACTACAATATGGTACATATGCAAGTACATATATATAATGTATATTAGTAAATCAAGATTGAATTATTTAAAGCAATAAAGATTCAGCTTCGACCGTAATAGGCATTTTTAAATTTCTAGTATTGATTGTGTTTCTCATATGTGAACATATGCGATTTAAAATAAAGATTCTTAATTCACTAGATTATTCTCTGACGGAACTAGAAAGAAATCGCTCAGTTAAACAGCTGACCCTCAAGAGAGCGACGTAATGTTCGGCGCACCGACGTGCAATTATGTATCGGCCGACCGTGCATCGTGCGCACTTGCACGCATGTTGTGGACCTATTACGCAAGATTATAGAAAGCCTCCGGTACACGTGAAAGTGTTCGCGCTATCGTCTGCATTCCAGCAGAATGCGGGCCTCGGCAGATGCAAATCATGTCTTGGAGTGAGTTCGGGATCAATTTTTGCATTCGAAAATATCGGATGAGCGACATTATTGATGATGCACAACATCCTGTCAATCTTTCGTAAAATTGTAATCAACGATATAGTACAACGATCACGGTATTATTAAGACTCAGTTTCACAACTCACGATTAACTCTTTATTCTAGAATTGGAGAGAGATAATATTAAGTTGAACCTCGATTGAGAGTTAATCGTGAGTTGTGAAACTGAGCCTAAGAGATATTATTATTGAGCTTTCGTTGTCCTTAATTTATTGAAATACATGCGACCTCGTTAAATTACGTGTGTACGTAGTGTACGCTTAGCGAGTATTGTAACCTTGCGATAAGCGCGTAACTTTCAATACATTGTCATCGTGTATGCAATTGCGAAACGTTCTCACCGCGAAGTGACAAACAAGGAAACAGAACGGGAGCGAGGAAACGAGAGTAAATCAAATAGGAATTTAATTGTCGGTGAACGCTAAAACGGATGTATAATAGCGAGTTAAATAAGTTGAACTCACCAGAACTGATATATGTATGCAGCACAGCAACCATCAAGATCTGAAATAAAATATAAAAGATATAATACTAACAAGTTACAAAAAAAAGTTGCGTTCTGTTCATTTATTTTTAACAACTTTGTATACAGACTAAAGTTTCGAGATGACTGTCGAGGATCTGCACTATTCTATTGCGCAACATTTTATTCAAGAAAATGAGAAAAAGGTTTCTTCAGCAGATAAAAGTTATAAACGGCGATGGTAAGCAAAGAATTAAATCAGAACAGCGAAAATGCGAAGTATACAAGAAAGATGAAAGAAAAAGAAAAGAAGTGGTATGCAAAAAAAGGTCGCAACAAAACTTCGTTTGTGAAACTTTTATTTCTTCGTGTTCAGATTGCCTCTACTTATACTTTTTCTTTGTCGAAATTCGCACATAGTAGCGTGTTAAAATGGGTCGGATGTAAAAAAAAAGGAGAAAAAAAAAAGAAAAAAAGAAAGCCTGTTGCCATTCTATTTCCCGTGGAGAGCCGCATTTAAGCTGCACACAAATGTACTGCGGGAAAGAGAAAGAAATCCACAAAAGCCCTCCTCCCGTACTCGGAATGTTCCGACAAGAATAATAATTTAAAGCCGACAAGAAGATATAAAGCGGAAGTTCCTTCGGCCGTTAGCCCCGAAAATAAGTGCGCGGTCCGAAACTACGAAATTCATTGTCTGAATGGCTTTATTCCGCCAAGTCCCGTCCGCGATTTCGTGGTAGGTAATCGATGTGTGTGTGATTCAAAAGTATACAAATCGGAAATCCAATAAAATAACTTTTTTGATTTTACACAGTTAAATATAAATACGTGTATATAAATATGTATAATATAAAAACGTATATAAATAAAAACATAAATATAAATACGCATAAAATATAAAAACGTATTGTACGTATTAAATATAAATATGAATATATAAAACTTCAAAGAAGATAATATGGAAATTGTTTGTTATTTATATTTTCAAAAAGTTATTAATTTATTTCATTTTTCGCATCACTTTGTGCGTTAATAAATCGATTGAAATCTTGTAAAAATGAATAATTTTTAGTAATGTACATCAATCAGTTAAGTAAAAATCGATTCATAAATGTCTATAAATTTGTAAAATATAAGCGTGTTATCAAATTCTCGTATAATTAGTCTGCAGGATGTCTATTAATTATAAATTCCAATTGTGCGCTAATCTTCCACGCGAAAATTCCATATCACGTTCAGCATAGTTCCATAATGAAGCACGAGTGTCAATTTTTCATCGCGAAACTGTTAGATTCATCGTGATCAATCAAATCAATGAAAACTTCGCACGGATCTATCATAATTTAGAACTGCAACTGCGGATTTACATTGAGTTAAATAAACTTTTTATAACGATATTAAAAGATATGTATTTTAATATTATTACAAGAAGGCAGTTAATTAAATATGTGTATATTTAATTCGTTTCTTTTGTAAAGAATAAATGAAAAATACATATATTCACCTGAGAGTATGAATATTACAAAGTATTATGTGTAATGTAAACTTTTCCCCCTTTCTCTTTCCTTTTCTCTTGTACTTCAATTCACCGTATTCAATAATGAATAGACGGTGAGAACACATATGTGTCTCTCATTGTAATTAAGACAAAGGATTATTAATTCTTGAAAAGATTAAAATTGGGAAACGACCGCAGAAAATCGCACCGAGTAGTTTTCCGAATTTAATTTCGCGGAACATTAAGCTCTTCGACTCCAGCGACTGTACAGCCAGTACGCCATTCAACCGGAAATTGAAAAAGTTAACGTGTTATATGCAGCGTACTCTCGTAATATTTTTGATTATGAAATTGTGAATTTTGTGTACTTGTCTTTTCGTTCTTGAGTTTATTTTCTAACATCGATGTATTAGTTAAGCGACATGCAAATTGATTTGCAAAATTTTCGGCCGTATAGCATGTAAGCACTATTAATACCGTATAAACGCATTCCTCTACGATACAATGCGTGTGCGCTGAATGCTGAAGTCATAGTATTGTTAGCGACGAACAAAAGCAATGCATAGCTATACAACATCTTGCGTCTTTATTTTATGAATCTGGTGTAAAACCGTGACGCCTCTAAAGACAACGAGTTTCTATCGTCGACGGTCCATTTAATCTTTTAGTCCACTCGCGAGATACGTGTACAACAATACTTGTTAACTTTGTCTGCATGTTTGGCTATGTGATAATTCTGTTGCATGTTGAGAGAGTTTCAAGCAAAACTTTTCAAAAAAGAAAATAAGATGTTTTTTTTTGTTTTCTACAATCGCGCATGATTTCGCATTTACCTTTCACGCGATGCAGTAAAAAATAAAGGAAATGAAAACATATTATTATACGAGCTCTTAACATGTCTTGTTATCATTATTATAGATTTACTCACGACAAATTATACTATCATTTCAGAGCCATTGGCGGCACGATATTGTTGCTAATGATCTGCGCGATCGTATACGAATACAGATCATTTTCTCTTGCGAGGGATATCGAGTTTTCGAACGTATCGAATAACAATGACAAAACCAATGACTTTATAAACAAGAATCTGAATCAAGACCGCAGGATCTCTATAGGACAGGAAAACGATCAGGAACTGATCGAAAAAGGAACAAAGCGTTCGCAAAAAGAGAATCCCATTCAACGGAAGAATTGCAACAAAGGTTAATGACATATATCTATATCTTTGTCGGCACATTCTTGCCTTAAATATTCTTTAAAAAATTCTTTAACACAGTGTTTGTGGTGACTTTTTCAGGATTCTGGCTGAAATTCTTACTCGCGTTCAGCCCTACCGTCAACGGGAGTAGGATCATTAGCACCGAGCCTGCGGCCAAAGATAGTCTGACTTGTCTCCACGGTCTTCGCGTATTCTCCTTAGGATGGGTCATCATGGTGCACACATACATTCAGGTCTTCTCTATCGCTGGTAATTCTGTGAGAGTTGCAAAAACCACTTTCCGAAATGAACGAACTATGGCAAGAAAGCTTATAGACGCATAAAACGAGAAATGTAGAAGATAATAACGTAGAAAATTTTATGGTCTCGTTAACAACGTTTCAAGTTAATTTGAGATTACTCTACTTTCTACAAGTAGCGCTTGATGCAACTGATAGACATTATGATGTAATGGGATGTATCGGGTTTCCTGATCGATGATAATCGAATCTAGCTCTCTTCCCCGCTTTATACATGTATGTATATACTTTCACCGACAATTTCGCGATTAAATGTTTCCTCATTACGCTTTGCAGAGAACAAGACATTACGAACGGTCACAGAAAGGAATTTCATGTTCCAGACCGTCAGTAACGCGACATTTTCCGTGGATACTTTCTTCTTTATTAGGTAATGAACAATGAACGTTTAGCGCGATAAAGCAGAAATTAATTTATGACAATATTCTTGACAGTGGTTTGCTGGTGACTATACTTTTCTACCGGTCCTTGAGCAATCTGAATATTGAAAAGGGCAACTTTTTGAAGACAAGCTTCACCAAATTCATTATCATGATCTTATATCGATTCATCAGGTATATTTTAAATAGTACATATAATTCCCCGTTGGAAATATTTTTTTTTCATGGCGAGACAATTAAATTCTCAGATAAACTATCGATAATATTTTCGATAATTATTCTTATTTTTGACCTATCTTATGTTTCATACAGATTGACGCCAGCTTATCTCTTTGTATTGGGAATGAATGAGATCGCTATGAAACAAGCTCAGGCGAAGACAGTCTTTTCGCCAATTGTTATTGACCATCTGACCTGCGAAAAGTTCTGGTGGCGAAACGCGCTATATTTGAATTCTTTATATCCGCGTACAGAAATGGTAAGATGTGATTTATGTTCTGCTTATCCTAATGCGCTTTCTTTTTTCTCGTTACTTTGTGAGGTAAAGCTTTTAACGAAATATGAAACTTCTTACATGAATTTTATAATAACGTTCGCTCCGAATACATATACCTACATAATATACGTGTACATTTAAAATATAAAAAAAAACACTAACCTGATAAAAAAAAGCATTAGATGTCGTTATCGAAAAATACATAATGGATTAAAAAACAAGATTCATCAATTACTTTAATGTTGCTTTCAAAACGTATCCTAAGTACTTGATGATACAATAAATATGGAGTAACGAAGAATATTGCATAATACGTGATTATGTAAAAAACGAGTTAACAACATACTTTCGATGAACGATAGGTAGAAAAGCCGTAAGGATTGGTTTTTGCGTCAAAGCGGTACTTAATGCATCGCCTTTCCCGCGCGTGAATTTTCCTCCGTGTCCTAGTTCTCTTAACTTTCGCAATCCCGTCGCGATGCAATCTGCTTGGCAATTGATTCGCACATATTACATTAATAACTTTCTAGTGCATGCTGTGGAGCTGGTATATGGCAAACGACACGCAGTTCTACGTCCTTGGGATACTTCTTCTTTTGCTCTCGGTGAAATATTTCAAGACCGCGGTCACTATCGTTTCACTGTTGATCGTCTCTTCGTGGTTCACTACATTCTCGATAGCCTACAGCAACGATTACATAGCCAGGTAATGTCTTGAACTCCCGATCAATATTACACGTATCATTTGTCTGCAGCACACCTTTCGCGTTTTCTCTATAGATCTACTACTGGCACGATTAACGATACACTTGTACCAAGTTATAATTAATAATATCTATAATACTTATTAATTTAAAAGACGTTATTAATATTAATGCACGTGATTAATTAACAAGATAATTTTTTTAAGAAATTTTCCTCTAAAAAATAAGATAAAAATTATTAGTTTAAAGCTTATAGTTAAAAATTGTTGAAATTATAAAAGTTAACTTATCATTTGAGATGAAATTCGTTGAAATTATTTATAAAGATCGTCAGGGTATAACCATCGTTCGTGGAAAATCTTAATTATATCAACGAGAAAGAAACAATTTCAAAGTAACAAAGGCCTTTCACAGCATTCAATGAAACACAACAATTGGAATACAGCCACTTACAATGTCTGTATGATTTGCTCTCCCATCTCGAATAAAGTATCTCGATCTTTTTATATTCGGAACTGGGTGAATACGGAACGGGTGAATATGCAGGAACAATGCAATAAGCCAGGTATCTGTCGAAGCATCGCTTGTAATTGGAAGCAGGCTTTCATTTCAGACAGCTTCATGGCGCACGTGCCTATTATAGCGCGCTATCGACATTGTACTTTGCATTATTCGTCCCCCGATGCGGCAATTTCAACGCGCGATATTGCGTATACGCTTAATTCCTTTATCGCACTCTTCACACAGGATTCAAGAGCCGTTTGCTCTATTTGACGAACTCTACGATAAACCCTGGCTGAGAGCGGGTCCGTATTTCATCGGCACGATCAGTGGTTATATCCTCTTCAAAACTAAGTGCCAGCTAAAGCTACCTATGGTGAGCATTTCGAAACACTGTTCCCAGCTATCAGATTAATCATTCAGTCAATCTGTCAGTGATATTCGCGTACGCCTCGCCGCGCGATAATGATACGATAATGCGAATTTATCGAACAATTGCAGAATCCGTATACACATTACGAAGGATACAAACAATATAATTAAAAATAATTGGGTAGAAACGATAATTATCTTAATACATGTAATTTATATGGCAATTATTTTTAAGTATCCTAATTACAACAAGGATTGCTAAATGTATTATTCATCCACACGACGAGAATTTTCTGCGGGCGTTCTTTCTTAGCGTAAAATGTTTTCTATTAAACTAACCAAATCTCAATTCCACAGGGAGTAGAATTAATCGGCTGGATACTGTCCGTGGGCATCATGTTCTCAGTGGTATACGGATTGTATCCCGGAAATTTGACGGTGATGGTAAGCTCCGTATATGCTGCCTTGGGACACACCGCGTGGGCGATGGCCGTGGCTTTTATCGTGATCCAATGTTGCACAGGGTCGGCACGAATGATCGACAGTTTGCTTTCGCTTAGGCTAATGTATCCTCTCTCGAGACTCACATATTGTGCCTATCTCGTGCATCCTGTTATCATGATGGTCACGACTACACAGATGGACGGACCGCTGCATCTCCACAATGGGATTGTCGTAAGATAAAAAGAATATTTTCTGAATATAAAGTTCCTATTACGATATTGCTATATGATATCTGTATAAAACGAACCGCCATTCCGTATACATATCGTAATGTTTTATTTCGAAAAATAAATAATAATCTTATCTCTATAAAATAGAAATCTCTCTTGTTTAGACGGTTAGACTTGTTTACCGCGATTTTTTCAAGATAGACAATTTTGAAAAGAAAACCGGAAAGTCAGTAATACTTATATTTTTTGTCGCTTTTAATTATTTTATAATATAAAATGTATCTCAACGTGTTTTTTAAGAAATAGAATATTATATTACTTTGTTTTTTTTTCTCTCTCCGATTTAATTTTCTTATATAGGAAAACTTCTTCTTTCGATTATACTATATAACATTTTACATAAAAGATTTTGTATTTCTGCACATTTTTAAAACTACTAAAAACTCTTGTATAAAATAAATTGCATAAAATACTACAATTCATTCTACTCTCGATAGAATTGTGTTGAGGCTATGCATGTTTCTTCCGCAGCTTATCCTCTATTTCGGCAACCTAGTTGCCTCGTACCTGCTGTCCTTCTGCATTTCTCTCGCTTTCGAGGCGCCAGTGGTAACTTTGTTGAAAATTGCATTCACTTCGAAGAAGAGAGCAAGGTAGAATGCAATTGTCTGCCTGATAGAAGGATAAATGGATTATCCAGCGTAGTAAGTATGTAAAAATTATGCACATGAGTTATCACATAAATAATAATTGTATGTTGCAATTACGCATTCGTCGCTTATCACATGTCCATACATGATTTATATATAATTTAATATAATAAATAATATTTTTAATCTATTAAATTTCTTACAGGTGTAACGACATTGTTCCAAATCTAAATCTTTTAAAGCAAAGATGAGAATCATCCAAAGATGAAAATCACTTTTCCAGGATGGAAAAGTTCGTCTTTATTTGTGAACATAGATCGCTGACATTTAATCATTCTTGATAATAATGTACATATTTGATGATAATCTATGTGATGTTATAAGTCTTAACAATGTTAAAATTTCTTTCTGCAAGATAAAATGCTAAATTCCTCATAATTCGATTTATTATTATTAATAAAAGATCACAGGGAAGAGAGAGATAAAACAAGAAACAGATTTATAGAAAATGACAATTAATCATCGTAGTAATAAAATAATATTGCAAATATGAAGAACATTAAAGATTAAAACCAACTGATATAAATCTCTGACGTAAAGCTTTTGTCGAGTCGAGAAATTTTGAGCTTCGGGGACAGTTTTATTTGCGATTCTCGCAGAAGCAACAGTAAAGTTAACACGTTGAATCATATTTCTATACGTTATTTTGACACGATAATTATTATTAAGTATCATGCCCTGCCAGTGCAATAATCCTTTATTTACGTAATGGATAGAAAAATGTTTCCCAAACATAAAATCCTGATATAAATCGCTGACAACACAATATAAAATCACATTAAGAAACTTTTCTCGCGTCGTATGGAATGAAAAATCAACGACAGCCGTAAATATATAAATAATAGCAACAAGCATTTAAGCATGCAATACGTTGAATACATTGTAACATGATATCAATCTTCGATATAATTTTTTTGTGTGAAAAATAAAAAAGCAGATTACGACAATGTTAGAATTTTACAGTATTTTTATCATTCATTTAGCAGTTCATTGTCAAATGATAAAATAAATTCAGCCACGTAAAATTCAGTTAGCATAAAGAAATAGAAAAATATATATATATGATGCGTTTATTCCAGAATTTATGCGTATCACGCGGGATATCCGACGGTCCGCAATAACGAAAGAAAAAGCGAAAAATACGTTGTATAGTACAAAATCGATAGAAAACATAGAAATAAATAGAAAAAATACATTACTTTTGCGTATCAATAAAAAATACACAGAGAGAACAATTTACGTTAAACAACAATGTATTCAATTACCTTTTTTTTACTTTATAATTTTTCACATTTCACCTTTCTATCATAAAGTATATTTTAAACTTATTATTGTAAATAATACAAAATTTAATATACCATTGCAAATGATGTTAAGATTATTTCAAGTGAATTATTTTCCACAAAGCCTCTGCGATGGAAATCAATTTGTCACTATTATGTATTATCAAATTTGAATAAGTCTCGGTTTCCTTATCATTGGCTTCTTATCGTATCTAGACACAAAAGCTTTTCTCTCCTGCTTTTAGCAACTACAAAGCGATGCGTGACGTGAAAGGAGGCACATGTCGCAAATTGATTTTCGATGCTCAGGAGGTATCTCCGGACTTTGCGTTTAAACGCGTTATCTGTCTACTGCAGATGTGAAAATAATTTTAAATTCCTTCAAGGATGCGACCGTTCATCATTACGAAAATATAACAGATAGCTAATAACTGCAAATTAATCTATAAACACAATTTTCTGATGAAGTTTAATTCTTGCAGTAATTTCGTTTTCTTAATTCATTAAAATCACGACTTTTTATTTAGAATGTTTTGCTTAATATATATCATTAAGAAACTTCATTTAATTATATTTTTAGATTAATTTCCACATTAATTTTTATAAATGGATTATTACATTTAACATATTTATAGTTTAGAGTTTTATTTTATAGATTCGTTAATTTTGTAATTAATTTTATTTGATGATTAAACGATTATTTAATAAAATTTGTCCATATCATGCGATTTCGCGTGAGCGCGCGGAAGAAACGTACACAATGTCTACGATACTTTCTACTTCTACACGGTAAGCACATTTCCGGTTTCATATCTAACTTATTTTGTACGTATCGTATATATTACGGACAGAGCAAAAAAAAATAGAAATAATATGGAATAAATGTTTGTAGAGCATTTAGCATACTATTGTATGTACTGAACAAATATTGATTACCAGAAAAATTCACAATACTCTTGTCGACGGAAATCGCAGGGCACATATTTTCGCGGAACTTTATAGTATATAGTATTGATGTTTTTCACTTAAATTTTAAAAAACACTGTAGCGAGGAACAATATCAATAAAAAATTATTTTTTTTATTGTAAAATAGAAGATACAAGATATAGTAAAAATCAGCCGGCAAAATTCTAATTAATGAGTTATTATTATTATTATTAGTATTATTTGCATTTAGACACGCGCAAGACAAACTGCGGTACAAAATAAAAAATTGTGTTAAAATTTATAATTGTATATATAAAATTAGCCCCTCATTAAGATAGTAGATGAGATTAGCAGCGATTTTTCACTGAATTTTACGACGATGTTTAACATACAGAGTTTACTTGAGATAAACGTAGCAAATTAATTAACGCGTCACCATATATATACGCCTATTAAAGAGCTAATTGTAGCATTTAAACGCTGAGCAAAACGCGTTCCACTGACGATACAGTTTCGTAGAGTGATAAATCTTTAGCCAACCAAAGCCTGTGTAGTATCCACCATCTGGCGTCCGACACGAACACGCTCACGAGAGAAAATTGCTGAAGGAATTAAAGTCGCCCTTAAGATCGATATCCACCCTATTTCAGTAAACGACCGTATGTTATTTTTTCTATCCATTAATACGTACGTTCATTCATGATGTAAGAAGACCGGATGAATTAATTTTAAGGATGTGTTAGTTGTTCAAAGTAATGAAGACATTTATGACTAATTTGAAATTGACTCCAAATTGTCATTATGCGCAATGTTACTTGGTCTTCTTACATTCGATTTTGATATACAGTGGCTGTCAAAAACTTCCGACTAACATATAATGTGACGATAATTTGTGCCAATTTATTTTTTAGTTTATATTATAAGTTAATAAAATTGTCGGGTATCTTAAATACTAGAATATATCAAAAACTTGTATACACTACATATTTTTATAGATTGTTGAGCAATATAATAAAATGACTCACTGGTCGGAAATTTTTGGCAACCATTATAAGGCGATCAAAATCATAATATATAAACAGGAAAGAGATTGTACAAAAGTAATTTTAAACTACAAAATAAACTTCTTTCTTCTCACAAAGTTTTACTTTCAATAAAATCCATATAGAAAACTAGAAAATTAATAATAGGTACCTTCTCTCTTTGTTAAACGTGAATAAATATGATTAATTTTTTAGCACTCCTAATTGTCAAACTTGTTATAAACATTTATTAAAAGTATGCATTAAAATATATATATATATATATATATAAATTTTACATAAGATTTCTTTTAGAAAAAAATACAGATGTTTATTTCACATTTTGGTTGCTATTATGCATAATTCCTTGAAAATATGCGCACCGCAAGTAAAATATTTATGCCCGTCTAGGATTACTTCCACTTTAGTATGGAAGTGTAAAGCTGTATTAAATTTTCCTAGATTGCATATAATGGGCATATAGATTCGAAAATTGTCCATTTGTTTGCCGCGATTTTGCGATTACAGAATGTAGCAACCTCTATATATGTGCATTACCGCAATAACATTGTTCATATGCACGTACGCGAGAGAGAAAAAGAGAGAGAGGGAGAAAAGGAAAAGAAAGAGAGAATGTATACATATGAAGAGAACATCGAAAATAGTTACGGATGTGCTTTCGTAGAACATGGGCACTGTCAGATTAAATCCTCAACATAACTAAGTAAAGACACGTGCACCACGCGCGGTCACAGACATCTCATTAACAAAATCGATATCACTTTAATTATCTTACAAGTGGCAGAGACGGACATTGAACGTAAACGCAACTATTAAATAAATATAATAAAAAACGAACATTCGATCAAAACTAGATTAAAAATTTAATTAAAAATTAGTAATTCTTTCGAATAGGGGACCCCGCTCCTACGACCTTGACCTTGACATATGTTGTCAAGGTCATGATCCTGAGTAACCTCCAACAAGTTTTAGCCGTCGCTCGTCCTTCGTTAAAAAGTTATTAACAAAAGAAGTTCGAAAAATAACGTATTATTTTTGCTATATATGCAATATTAAATACTATTCTACATAGGTTTTGACTTTCAGGGGCGCACGACTTTCACCTCCGCCCCCTCTCCCCCCCGTTTCAGGGGCGCACGACTCTCATCCCTCCTCCCCCCTGCTTCAGGGGCGTACGACTCTCACCCTTCCTGTCCCCCTGCTTCAGGGGCGTACACTTTCTGGATCCACAATAATTAATTGTCTCGATGCAGGGGAGAGGTGGAATGAAAGTTCAAATCTTTGTTTTATATCGTAGAAAAGAAACATCATTTTTCAAAATTTTTGTATTAATAACTTTTTAACGAAGGACGAGCGACGGCTAAAACTTGGTGGAGGTTACTCAAGGTCATGACCTTGACAACATATGTCAAGGTCAAGGTCATAGGAGGAGGGTCCCCTATTGTACAGTTTTACCTAAAAATTATTTATACTTCCATGTATATAGGTACTCGTATATTTTCAATGCATTATAAATTACAATTAACATCTGATTTAACATTTTAACTAAATAACGGAAATCATGAAGCAAAAAAGCTCTTTGTTAGTAATTATTTCTTTAATGATAACAAATTTGCTACGTTATTCATACTTTATTACATACAAGAGAAAAAAAGACTTACCATTACAATCTATTAACAATTTATAATTAATTTTCGAAGTCCGTCCTTTATCGATTTAATCAAAACACATATAATAGGGGAGCTCGATTTCCTGGACCAAACCGTGAAGTGCGGAAATTGATTTGAGAAGACCACAAAATGCATTTAACACACAAAAGCCATTGCACTGCATGCACATTTTGTACACAAAAGGTCTATATATTCATAATCGATATATATTCACCATTTAAACGCGCTATAGAATTTCAATTAAATTATGCACGATTATCGTTGTGGTATCATGTTTAAAAAAATATATGTAAAAATATGCCATACGCGTATCCAAATATATACATTTTATGTAATTTAAAAATATCAAATAATTTTAAAAAATACGGATGCATTGTTACAGTACGTAATTAATTAAATTCTTTACAAAATAATTGAAAAGCGCGGTACCTTATTCCATTACGTAATCGGAATGCACATCATTTGCATGTGCTACTCATACACACACACACATACTCCATGCTTATGAGCTTTTCGCATTCACTTTGATGAGTGTGTCCGCCTGCATTCTTAACCGAGCTTAATGTAACCTACTTTCAGCCGGTACAACTTCTTGTAATTAGCAGGCTGAGCTACATCTCATGCGTTCCAACGACGTTACACTTCTTTAAGAAGGAATTTCCGCATAAGCAAATTTTTCTTACTAATACTGATGTATTTGAGGCTCTCTCTTGTTCTTTCTGTAGTATAACTTTTTGTCTGCCGCACAATCTGTTACAATGATTCTAATAAAATGTAATATAAAATTCTAAATTTCGAGCATCTCTCTATTTCATAAAGAACGAGAATACCTATATCTAAATTTACCATAAAATCGAGCGATCGAATCTCTTCTCCCAGAGGTTACAGAGATTGTTTTTCCAATAAAAATGGAGAATACCTGAGAAATCCTCGGGGAGATTCATGAAACGAGACTTGATTAATTATCGTCCCCAAAGGGCATGTCGAATTCTACGAAATTTGAAAGCAAGATTTTCCATGAATTTATATGTAACTGATAGAGTCAATTTCTCTATATTTTGTGTTCATCTTTGTATGTATCTGTTGCGCTGTGTGCGCTGTGGGATTAAAATTTTTATTAATGTAGAGTAATTTTGAATATGTTATAAAATATCCCCTAGGAGGGGATTATTTTCACAGAAATATTATTGACAAGAAAAAATAATATATTTTTAGCAAAAATAGAAAAAAAAGCGTAAATCCGAATAATATTTTGAAATAAACATAGCCTTATAAATGTAATTATTACAATTAATTTGAAAAAGATTATTCCTAAAAAAATCTATTTCTTCTATTTATACTTTAATTTAATAGTTATTCCTAAAAAATCTATTCCTTTTGTGTAAATCTCAAAGTCTATAATTATTTCAAAGTCTATAATTATTTCAGAACCAAAATATATATGTGTTGTAAATATATATGAAAAGTAACAACATCAAAGAAGTTGAAAAGCATTTGTAATTACCATATAAGTCATTCATAGAACCAAGTTCTGCAAGCATATTTTTTATGAATGAATTACCGTGCATTCAAACTGCAGTCTTGTAATTTTTCTACACTTTCTACCAAAATCTTGTCTTATACATGCGCACATGCGCGGACGAGGCGCAGGAGGTAAAGCCTAGTTTTCAGTCAGTCGGCCGAGAGCCGTCGAGGAGTTCGAGTTGTATACAAATTTGGTGCTCGCGACACACACACGAGGTTTCGGAAACTACTACCGTAGGCTGACAGAAATCGCGTCCGATTTATGAAAAAAAAAGAACCACAATACTTCTGTGTTACGAAATACGTCGATCACTATAAAATTGATGACAAAACATAAAACTGGCAAATCTTTTCTGCCAAACTGGTTAAAATGGAAACTCTAGTCGAATAAACCAACAGAATGTCTCGAATTTTGCACGTGAAAAATTTACATGTGAAAATGAGACGTCGTGCACAGCCATAATTAATTGCAGTCTAAACCGAGGAAAGGCTCGATTTTAAAAGTACGGTCGTGCGAAGAAATCTAAAGAAAACCCGAACGTGACACGACTGAGAGGCGCGAGACCGACGAACTTGAGCTTACTAGTGAATTTCCGGGGATATACGCTATGTGTTGATGACAGAGAGAAATCGATCTTTAAGCATCTCCAACTCTGACTTGCACTGGTTGGAAAATGTACTTTAAATGTCTTTAAATCAATCAAACGATATACTTAACGAAAGTGTAATTAATAGAGATATTTTAAATATTATTTGTATAAGGGGGGGATTATGCGTTTCGCGGGTTTCCAGATCCATTCTTGAGATGAAATATTATGTGTATTATTCAGAAAAATCAGTGATTCTGATTTATCGTTTATGTAATTTGCAAAAAGTATCTAATAAGGTATAATTTTTAAATGCAAATCAATTTTTCTTTAACTCGAAATTAAAACTTTGTCGATTATATTTAAAAAAAATCGCAGACGCTAAACTATTAGAAATTCCATGGAGAATGTCCCAAACTTTTATACCAAAGTAGTGTAACATATTTATTTACAAAAATGCTAACACACGAGGTATGACACGTCAAATTGCCGAACGTGTTCGGAGAAGAACTCAGAAAGGACTCATTATTAGTTTCGCGGAAGTTAGTGTGCACACGGGTTAATGTTCTTGTGTCTCCAACTAGAACGACGAGGAGAATACACGAAGTTATCCAAGCATGAACAAGGGAAGATCCGGTGCGACGGCCACCCGGAAAATTTTCATAGAGTTCACGTCACAAGGATTTCGCGTTCAATAAGCTTCTAGGTATGTTAAATGTGGTCCACTAATTAATATCAGGTAGAATTGTGGCATTTCCGGTATCTGCCTCGAACATATTTTATTTACGCGAGTCATGTATTGTATACATATGAATATGCCAGGATGTGAAATAACTGCGACCATTATTGCGGTTATGTCAACATAACAACAATAATTATAGAAATTGATATTATTATATGTTTACAATTGTAAATTACAATTTAAAATTATTTAAAAAATCGTTTACCATTATAAATGCCATCATTAACATCAATAGTTATGCATATTATTCATTATAAGAGGTACTTATTCGATTTCGAGTATTATACATTATTAAAATTTGTATGAAATAATATTGATATCTAAAAATTAAATTAATGTAAAATATATAAAAAGTATAATTTTATGATTTTATACAAAATAGAAAAGAAAAAAGTTATATTTTTAGAACATCAAGGTTCTCTTTAAAAATTCTAATTTATTAAATTTATATCTTTGACATTTCATTGCCTGGAAAAAATGTTTCATATATAATTATGTATAATTATATATTGACATACTTATTTCATATACAATTATATATAATTATATACATATAAAGTATGTCCTTCGTATATGTATATAACATTTTTTCCTAGATAGTTGCGAATATCAAAGTAAATCGATAGAATTTAATTAATCCTTTTTCAAGCATACATATTTAAAGTTTACATTGAATTATTCGCGTTTGTATAGCCATACTGCGTTTTCACATGACTTCGTGTTTGACTTGTTATCCAAAAACTCTGCCAATTGTGCGAGTTTCTGTTCACACTTCACAGTATGACGTATCGACTTTCGATACCCGCACCCATTGCTGATTCATGACTGCGAATAGTTCCGACGGGGACACACTCCTTGCAGCATTATCCCACGTCACTTGCTATGACGCTTAATAAGCGAGATATATAAAGGGTGGATCATTTCCAGATTGAAAAATTGCCTTTTTATTATAAAATATTACTTCTATCTAGTAAAGATCATAATGTTTCCTCGACGTTGCATGGCAATGCATCCGTCAATTTTATTTCGCTAATATTTTTCTAAGAATGTAAACGGGAATGTCGAATCACGTAATGCAGATATCGCAGATTATAACACGTGCGAGTAATATATTAAATGTATCGTAGATAAAGATTTTTTATATAAATCGTTTTCTTTTTTCTACGTTTTGTTAGATAGCCTGCTCTTTGCAAGAGGGAATTGCCTATTACCTGGTGTCATTATAATGACACCATTACGTTTAATTAAAGCAGATAATTCCAGCAAAATAATATTCAGTGCGTCATTTCTTACATTTTTTATGATCCGTTATACACGATATTGGAGCCGTTTAATGGCGATCGTTTATAAAAGACTGGCAGGTGGTAGAAATCCTGTCTAGATAGGAGCTGAATTCCTATCTAGATAAGAGCTGAATTCCTTTTTAAAAAATGGAATCTAATCACAAGGGTCAACCTCGTGATGGAAATTAGTGGCCCGAAACAAAGTGTCGTGTCAATGGATGATATTCAATTTACTTTGCAACGTACGGTAACTTCTCGCACGAACAATTCCTATCAACAAAAAAGGCAAGAGGGTTCCGGCTAAATGAAAACAAAATAGATTTCAAGAAATAAAAGAAAAAAGTTGAAAAACGTGGAAAAATAACGGGCCTTTTGTTTCAACCCTTTGATATGCTGTTACAATGTAAGCGATTTATTTTAACGCAATGTTTTTCTTGATCAAGCTCGGGATTCTTTATATATGATAAAAACATCAATTTTTAATGTACGTAAATGATTGCCACGACCAAAAAGAATAGAAAGAAAATTTAATAGCGCGAATACTTCGCGCTAATGCTATCGGAATTAATTTAATTCTTATTCTCTTATGTATTTAGTAATATAAATAAATAATGATTAATGATGTATTTTAACCAAGTTCGTTATTCAAATAGAGCATACGAATATATCCAAGCATAGAAATTAGCCCAATGGCCTAATTTAGATGTGGCCGGACATATCTAATTTTGTCTAAACATCACTTATCTTGATAAATAGTACATGTGTACGAATTACGCGATAACGCAAGTATAATTTATACCTATTTGTCAGGAATGACGTGCAAGGGTCTGAAATCATATTTTACGCACAAATTATCTTGCAGTTTACATTTAACTATTTTATATATGCATAATCATATATAAAATTTATATAGGGTAAACTAGGATATTATGGCCATATGGAAAAGATGGCCATAGGCCATAATTTCTCCAATAATTAATAAATAGTGCATTTTTATAGTCATTCTTAAAGATAATCAATATTTACAGTAGTTCATATAAGTACACTGTTCAAAATAACAATATTATAAATATTATCTAATCTTTTTTCTTTCGACTATCTGCAAAGTTTTGCATATGTCTGCTAAAAACTGTTATAATGTCTAATAAATTACAGTTAAGCTACCATAATCAACATTACATACACAATAAAGATACATAAATTGTGACCTATAATTAATACTTTTATTTTCACTATTTATTATATTTATAAATACTATGGCTATCTTTCTTAATATCACATGGTCATTTTTTCCCTAAAAATCAGATAAGATGGCCAATGCATACTTTGTAATATTTTGATCAAATTAAAGTTCTGTTAAGTATTTTCTCTTTAATTTCGATAGTATTTGTTACTTTAAGCTTCAGTGAAAGTAATATCTCAAATATTGTTAAAAAGTAACAAGAATAAATGTATGTTTTTTGCATTTTAAAAAACTATGGCCATCATACCCGAATTTACCCTATGTATAATGTAATTTATATATGTATAATCATATACTAAAGATATCACTTTTTATTATACAATGACAAAAATAAAGAAACGCAAAAATAGTTAAAAAAAAAGTAAATAGGTAATAAAGATTAATTGAATTTTAACTGTAACACAAACCTCCTCTTGATACACAGAGCACCAATGGCTTGATTGCAAGGCAATTTTTTTGCTTTCAAGCTGCGCTGCCGAAACTTTCATAGAAAAGCAAAACGTGTTTTCTGGATTCATCCAAAAGACATCGAATCAACCAGGACCAAGGGTAGAATTGCCCATATTTGTCGAAGAGGAATGATACGATGCCAGGTATGATACTCTTAAGATTCAAGATTCAAGTTTCGTGTCTCGTTAACCCCGTGACCCCTTCGCGATCAATTTCAGATAAAATTTCATTCGTACAAAAATCGAAATAGCAGAAGCCCCAAAAAAACGAATAAGAGATACCACAATTTTATTATGACTGACGTAAAAAAATATTCTTTTTTATGAAATTCTTGTGTTAACGTCATCCTCACGGTTGGTCAGAATTACAAAATGATAAATTTATATATTTCGATCATTATCAAACTTTCGTCCACGATTAAGAAACATTTCAAAACATTTGGTAAATAGAATCTATTAACAAGTAAACTTTGTGTACGATGTGCAATAAGTAAGAAACTTCGTGCTTGGTAAGAAAGTTAGTAACGTAGAAACCTATGTTCTTGACAAAACATAATATTCATGATGAAACTTATAAAAGAGCATACAACATTATATATATATTTATATAAAATTATTCTTCGCATCAATTTCTTGATATACAGAGTGAATCAGAGTCGTTGAGCCAGCTTTTTACCCTATGAGAAAATAATTGACTGCACACGTTACAATTCAATTAGGTATAAAGTCGATAATTTTCACATAGGGTAAAAAGTTGATTCAACGACTCTGATTCACTTTGTATGTAATGATAAAAATACAACGTATGTTCATATAGTAGTCCTTTTTCGTACCGTTGGGCTTTTATAGTGTTGTTGCCTTACTACACGTTACTTTTTATACTAGCACGTTGCTTACTGCGCGAGTAGTAAACCTTTATTACGTCCCTGCACTCTAGTTCTACGTATCAACTCATCTTCATTCCCTTTTATTTTGGCTTTTCCAAATGCACAATGAAAAAGCTATTTAAAAATCGCGTTCGAAAAAGTAGACGTTATAATAATTAAATCCATATCCACACGTGTGGATGCGTACGCGTACTAATTTTATCCACTCCAGATTTTTCCTTGCAATTCACAAAATCTATAAATTGCAAGAAAAAATCTGAATGAATATCCAGAATCAGTTATAACTTAATAAATATCTAGTTTATTACAGCAAAAAAATGATACGCTGACAGAAATTGCCGTTATAACTTCTCACATAAATTAGGTATTCATAAGTAAACTGTTATGAATTTTTTGAAATAATTTTATGTACACGTAGACTATGATTTATCCCCTTCGTGATCGTCTTAACGAAACGTATTTCTATTCATTAGCAAAACGAGCTCTCATCTGTGAAATAGCTCATTAAGGTTCTTGTATATAATGAAGCTGCATAATTTCAGGCAAAATAATCTACGAGAACTGCTTAGTATACAAGTATATACCATAAGCTCACTGTATATATATTTCATATATACACTAACTAAAAAATATAACAAAAAAATAAAAAAATATCCAAAATAAAAAATGTTTAATATTTATTATTATATATTTAAATATTTTAGCACAACATTTAGAAGAAAAATCAGTTTTAAATAACAAATTTAGTTATTTCAAAACAGCTATAAATATCTAATTACGTCATTTATTCAAAGAAGGATTCGCAATAATATTGCTTAAAAATATATATTCGCAATTGCTCACATTCTACTGGCGCTAAAGAACGTTTTCACTGAAGAACGTTTTCTTTTATGGTGCGTTTTACGGGACCATCTCTTAGGTAAATCCCTCAGCCGGTTTTATGTCGTAGATGAAATTTAAACGGAATTCTCTCGACAGAACAGATAAGACGGTAGATTATTTTGTGTGAATTACCATGTAACCCTTTCGCAAGAATTGCCGCGCGAAGTGGACGTAAAATTACCACGCACTTTCCACGGTCGGCAATTACCGAAGCACCCAAAGTGCGAACACAATCAAGAGCCCCTCAAACTTGAACATCCAGAAGTATCTACCGCGGTAGAAGAGTAAAAAGTTTAACAACTTTGGCTATCACTGCTGAGGTATACTCGCAGAATTCTCGCATAGATTTGTAAGCATCAAAACACGTCTGAACAATCTTTTGCAACTTACTTCTGAACTGTCAGGTGGTCGCACTATAAGCACTGTGCTCTGTTAAAACATTATTCTCTGTATCTTCAATCTTTAATATTCATATAAATATAACTATATAAGATTTTTATTACACGCAAGATCTTAATTTCATTCACAATCAATGTGTATAATTTCCACTTCTATAACACTCTTTTTATTGTGGAAAAAATAAATATTTTCTTACGCTGATTTCTAACGGAATTGATACGAGCTAGCCAGTAACCAGGGGCTACGGAAGATACTATTATATGCAATTACCTAGCTTGCGCAATTATACGTACTCCTCCAGCAATATTCCGTACTCCGGGAAAGTTGAAACGTATCTCTGACCCAATCTTTAAAACTACAGTTTGCACGAATGGAAATGTTTAATGCATCCTAAAATCTTCCTACAACACGCACCTCGCGAACTTTGGAAATAAATTGATATTATCAACGTTATAAATTCCAAAACTTTTACGGAATCATACAGATAATTTGTCAGGAATATTCTTTAATTTAAAACAGATAAATGTGTCATATATGAAGAAATAACTTTGATATATATAAGTATTTGTCTATTTTATAAAATTGGGTATTAGCGAAAAAATCAGATTTATATATTTCTCGTAAATCAAATAAAAACATCAGATACAGAGGAACATGCTGTGAAATGTGTCAAACTAAACGCGCGAGAAATTTATGCGAAAAAGAAATCGAACAACATGGATATAAAGTTGTCATAATAATACAGTGATATAGGTTTTTTGTCGTAATGTTCTACAAGGTCCGCGTTTCAAAGCCAATACTGATCTCTTTATTCCTTTTTGTCGTGTTCCTTAGTTTCTCTCTCTCTCTCTCTCTCTCTCTCTCTCTCTCTCTCTCTCTCCTCGTGTTCCGAAGTGCTCTTATCCTCTGACATGTCCGAAAAATAGATCACCGAAGGGTCTTGTTCCGCTTTCTAGTTTCCAGTAACGACATGAAATTCACCGAGCAGAAAGGAAGGTAGTATCCGCTTACAGAGCAATATCGAAGGTATTACAATATTTAAAGTAGGGAAACGGAACAAGGATTCTACACCATAAACGCGCTAATAGCGAATATTACACCTGTGACTCTCTCATAAGCGTTGAAATGAGTTCATATATACTCCTTGAAAGAGTATTTAAAATATTATTTTAAAAATAACGATTGCAAAATTATTTGGAAATTTCTCTTAATCTCATGTAAATTTAATAATTTCAAGTATTCGAATTAATTGAAGAACATATTTTACGATTTGACATTTCATTGCAATTAATCAAAATCATATATTTAATAATGTTTGAATAAATTCCTATATTAATCATCGTAAAAATGTTTTTGTAAAAACAATTTTATATCAACGCATATATCTTCTCACACAAATGTATCTTACCTTTATTATATATAGAACATTTCCTTTGTTCTATATTTAATATAAAGAAAAAACTTTATTGTATGCTTTATTAAGAATTGATGGGTTTTTTATGGGTTATAGTGTCAAAAAAGAAAGTTGCTCATTTTATTTGGAGACCCAGTATACGCTTTATCAAACAAGGGTATATTATAGTACCAAAAGGTCAATCAAAATCACGGAAAGAAAAGCTCTTTGTCCCTGAAGGACGCTTTCCTAGACACGTTATTTCGTCCGGTGGTGGTTGCATTGCCTTATCTCGATTTATATTAAGATTCGTAGTAGTTTATCCAACAATGAAACGGAATCCCCATTCCTGCGCATCACCTCAAATTATACCCGTTTATTTAATTAATCATTCCTACACAAACATATATTTACTACAATATTATAATTTCGTTATTAAATTAAGCACTCATCAGCCAATGACCTTTTCAAATTAATTTCAATAAATGAATTAATATTAAATATTTTATTTTCGTTTCAAACTAATGTTTTCAGTGTAATATAATACAAAATAATAAATTAATATTTTTGTTATTTCAGTAATTTCACGAAAAAAAAAATTCCAAAAGTATACCTAGTTAATTATAATTATACTTCGAATTTGGAAAACTTGATACAAAACTCACTACCTAATCAGCATAAAACTACAAAGAATTAAATTATATGTATAGAAAGAAATTAAATGTTGACAATTAAAAACCACTACATTATTTTTCATATAATATACTTACGGTTCCATCAAAAGCATAACACGCAATAATATTCATTAAATGAACGTAATTTATATTCATGAAATAGACTTATAGCTTTAGATGCAGCTTTCACTGCAAGAATGTATACGCGAAATAGTAACATCACTATTGTCGCATCAGTTGACCAACAGTAACGTTATTACAGTAATAACGCTCTATTGTGCTGCAGTCAATATCGTTTCGTAAACTAGCTCCACCAAGTACCACCAGTAAATACAGCGAATAATAGATAATATGCAGTCAGATGGTGGTGTCGATAATGGCAGAAAGAGAGCATAGATCGTAAAACGCGATGACCAAATACGATATAGAAAAATCAGAGCTCTCAGACGAGAGAGATAGAAACGATGAGAATCGGTAGAATTGCAAGGACGACAAATAGATAAATGAAACTGTTCGTCGGCTATTATGCGGCGGTTCGTTTCACATCCCGCATGCGATGTCGCCTGTTTCGTTTTCGGTATCGCTCTCTTTTCCGTTTTGCATAGAGAGGAGAACCATTCCGCAAAACTTTATACAGTCACTAAAGCAATAAAAAGAATAACAACGTTATGTATAATGGTTCGAATCAATCGTAAAATATCGTGAAATTTATTTAACAATTACACTAATTTTTTTTACTACTGATTTGTGGTACTTAATGGAAAAGTAAAAGAAACGTAGTTAAAATATGAGGTAAAGGAACCTATTCTGTAACTCTTAATGACTATGTAACGCTATACAGTTATAGTCGTTAAGAATCACAGAATAGGTCTCAAAATTATAAAATTACTTAGCAAAAATATTAATAAA